AAAAAATTTAAGTAAATACAAAAGGCTATTAAGAGTCAACGCTGTTAGCAGTGCGTAAAAATATAATCTCAAAATCTATAACATAGATATTATGTCGAACGTTTCGATCCTTCGTTTCGGATCATCATCAGCGACAATACAATATAAAATTAAAAATTACTCAGAGTTGCAAACAATGATGTTGTCCCGCAGTATGTAATATACAACCAATCTGAGGCAAGTATATTACATACTGCGGGACAACATCATTGTTTGCAACTCTGAGTAATTTTTAATTTTATATTGTATTGTCGCTGATGATGATCCGAAACGAAGGATCGAAACGTTCGAAATAATAATAATATTTGTGCCCTCTTTATGAATAGATTATGACCTCAGACGCTTCACGATCATTTTCATTGACTCTTCTTCGCTTTCTACTTATTTCATTATCATCATCATCATTATCTTCCAAGTCACCGTTCCTCCTCCGTTTCCTAATCCTTTGACCAATTTTTTCTGCATCCTCTCCATATCATTTGATGGTTGTAATTAACCCATCAATCACACGATTAAATCTGGTGATGATGGATGCTATATCCCGTCTATATCAATATTAAATTTATAATGTGAATTTATAATGTGAATTAATAACATTCTCACGAAGCGAAAAAAAAATTGTTTTAATCTTTTTTCCATCTGAAGTATATTTCACAATCAGTAGTGATTTTTTCCCCATTTCTTCCTTGATGAAAATAAGAAGTTTCATAAATGTATTTGAACACTTATTTAAGCGTTTTACAGTTTGTTGAGAGTAGAATGATTCAAAAGCGGAAATACAACGTTCCAGCATTTGGAAAACGGAATTTGGGAAAAGTGTTTGTTAATAGTTTTAAAATTGACAATAAACACTCTGCATGAATGTGTATCGGTATTTATTAAGAGTTCTTGTAAAGTTTGAAAACGTATAAAACTCTTAACATCGTCATCGAACATTGTCAACGCTTTATAAAGTATTCATATTTTCACCAAGGTTTTGATTCATTAATCAAATATACAGTATTTTGTAATTAATTATTGATTTAATACATACACATCTCTTATCAAGTGATTATCCACACCGAGATCCACGTGTACAGTCAACATATTCGGTGACTGCTGCCCAGCGACTGCTGCAGCTCTTTGAAGTTTTAATCCACTTTCCATTAATTTTTTACTTTTTATTTGCAATAAATGCGCTTGAATATTAAAATAATTCAAACCAATAACTATGTTGTGAATGTTTGCCATTGTGAGCTGACACACTTGAGCCGTCTAATATCAAAATCTATCCAACTCACTGTCTGAAAGACTGACAGGACCGCGAGAGATGTACGAGAATTTACACTGAAGATATACGTGACAATATGATATCATCATTCTCCCAAGATGCCATATGCAAAGTGCAATGCCTCGGTTAAAGACTTATATCTTAATCAAAAGTATATCTCAGCAAAAAAGTATACCTCAGCAAAAAGTATACCTCAGCTAAAAGTATAAGAGTAGACATTGCGCTCAAACTATTCTATGAAGAAACTTCTGCATTTTATCCATTGCAGCATTTGAAACACATATTATGCATATATTAAACAGCTATTAAACAGCTATCAAACGGCTATCGAACAGCTATTGAACAGCTATTGAACAGCTATCGAACGGCTTTCAAACCGATATCGGTACACTGTAAACAGCTATTGAACAGCTATCGAACATCTATCAAACAGCTATTGAACAGCTATCGAACGGCTTTCAAACCGATATCGGTACACTGTAAACAGCTATTGAACAGCTATCGAACAGCTATCAAACAGCTATTAAACAGCTATCGAACGGCTATCGAACAGCTATCAAACAGCTATCGAACTGCTATAAACAGATATCAAGCAGCTATCGGTACATTGTATACAGTTACTAGGTTACTTATGACTTATATTTATTATATGGGTGATACCGGTAACGGAAATAAAACGTATTTATTTAAAAAAATCTTACATTTATTTTAAAAATCTTCCAATTATCCCTGGTGTTGCGACCACCAGTGGAATATTTTAAATACATTTTGCAAAGCACAATTCTTAGCGTGTCTTCCACACCGTATTATATTACAAGCATCTATATTACGTAGGGATTCTACATCTTCGTAATCCGCATCTAGA